AGTCCAAAGTCACCCACTGCGACCCTGAGACACAAAGCTGGAGGCCGGTGAGCCGAGACTGTGTGTGTGTGTGTGTGGGGGGGGGGTATTTGCTTGGCTGGACCCACATGGGGAAGAGCCTGGCACAACCCAGGACCCTGGCAACTGCCGCACCCTCACAGATGGGCATGGCGCTCAGTCTCCCTTAGCTGCCCACCCTGGCCCTTCCCACCTTATCCCTTGCCTCACAGTTACCCTTCTAGGTAATCCTTACCAGACCCCTCGCTCTCTCACCCCTTCTAAACCCGTACCCCGTCTTCAAGGCCATTCCACGGCCTCCCTCTGGAGGGCGTCTCTCCTTGGGGCCAACAGTGTGCAGGTAGGACCCCAAATGTCCTGCCCGTTGCTAAAATATTGAAATTCTTCCCCACAGATTGGTAAACAGAGCTGCCCCAAACACCAAAATTTATCCCCCCAAATGTATCCCCCAACTTCAGTTCCACCCCGGTCAGAGAAAGGGTGACCCTCAGACCCCCAGGGGCCACTGTGGGGCTGACTGGGTGTCGGCCCTGCCCGTCCACATCCTGCTGCCAAGCCGACACTCCAGCATCCCCGCTCCCCTTGGCGAGCCCGGCGGGGGGGCAGGCAGCGCGCCCTCCTTCCCCGTCCTTACAGGTCGCAAGTGCTTGCGGGGCCCTGTCTCGGCCCATCGCCGTTTCTCCAGGGCACTCAGCAGTTCTGCTACAGGAAGGACATGCGACACGCTGTTGGAGGGACGTGCTGAGTGGTACCGCTGCCGTCGGCACCAGCCCTCGCGTGCAGAGGACAGCTCGGCGCGTGGCACCCCGCAGAGGGCCCTCGCCCTAGCAGGTCTGCGCTCCTTTCTCCTTCTCCCTGTGCCAAGAACTGCAACGCTGTTGAGACTCTAGCTGTCTGCAGGCCGAGCTGAGCACACCCCGACATACTATTTCCTACGTGGAACAGGGAGGTCTCACGCTGACTGTGCCATGGCCGGCAGCCGCCACGCAGGCCCCGAGCCTGCCTCCCAAGTCACGTCCCGTGGGCTCAAGGGCTCTGTTCTCACAAACAGAAGGCCAAGTGGGTTACACAAAGGCCACAGCTGGGCCCGGGTGCGTCCTCTCTCTTGCCCTGGGGGAAGCCAGCTAGGCGCCAGGACCTGCTGAAGAGCCCCTGGGGCGGGAGCGGGTGGGAACAGAGAGTGAGTGAGCCGAGCCTGGGATGTGGGCGCCTGTCTCAGCCCTGTGAGAGGTGCCTGCCAGGACCTGCCAAGACCCCCAGCTCAGCTGCTCCTGGATCCAGACCCCTTGGGGGCTTGTGATCCTGCCATAGATAATGAATATCTGTGTCTTCTCTAAAGAGCTTCAGAAACAGCCCATTTGGCCTCTGGGTTCGCCAAGCCACGCCTACGCCTACCGGCAGATAAACATTGACAAGAACAGCTCCTGTTATGGGGTGCTCAGGGGACCTGGGGCCGCTCAGAGACCCAGCACACACCTTCCGGGGACACATACACCACATACACGCTGCCGGGGCAGAAAGACAGGTGACGGGCCAGCGGCTTCAGGAGCCTTGACCCTTTGCAGGCAGGTGACGGTCCGCAGGTCACACTCACCCCAGAGAGCACAGAGCCGAGCACTCCGCAGAGACCCTGACCAGAGCCTGCGGCCCCCGCCATGAAATGCCAGCCCGAGGGAACGCCAGATGCTTGTATGATAACCCCACTTGCAAGAACTTCTGCAGATGTCAGGTGTCTCCACTTACATTCACGTCCTCTGGGCTGTGCCCCGTGGCATGAAAATGCCCAGTCAGGAACCTGCCTTCTGTCTCCGCTAGAAAGCAACGCTCCCCCGGCTGCCGGAGCAGCGCGGCCTCACGTGTTATCTTTCAACGGAGATGAGTCAGGTGATTTGTGCAAGGTCATTTGAGACAAAGGTCCTGCTGAACAAGGAATTCAAAATGCTTCGTTCCTGCCAGGGGCAGTGGACATGAGGGGTCACCTAGGAAAGAGGCCCTGCCCTTGGGGGACCTGGCTGCTGCAGGAGACACACAGAGAGGGTAAATGTTCCCAGGCCCTGGGGGGAATTGTCCCCCTCGCCCCCCAGGTCCCCACACCCTCATCCTCTCCTGGTGGCGCCCGCTCTCAGCCGGTCCGCCGCGTCACCAGCAATGCGCAGCCCAGCTGTTTCTCCAGCGCTTGGAGGGCAGGGGAAGTGGTCACCCACGACCCCTCACCTTAGTTCTGGCGGTTTTCAGCTGCTCCCAAAATGCCAGCGCGCAGGGAGACGCTCTATCCTGGCCAAAGGGCTGAGACCGGCCTGTGCCACCCCAGGGCGGAGTCTCCTGAGACTCCTACCACCTAGGAACAGTCTCCAGGTCCAGGGGCCACGCTCACGGCCCGTTCGCCCGTGGCCTTAGTGGTTTGGTCTTTAGAGTAAGAAAGGAAATCGTATCAACACGGTCTTCATTTAGAGACTGAGGCTGTCCCACGGGGCCGCCTCTGTGGATCTTACTCAGCTCACGGCCGATCCCCTTGGGCTCAGATTGTGAAGTGAGATTTCAAAGTTCTTGGGAAAAACCCGGGATGGTGCTGACAGTCTCTCTCCGTGAACGCCTCTAGCTCTCAGTGCTGGGACGTCTCAGTCTGGGATTCCCCTCGGTCCCGGGTCCCCCTCGGTCCCAGGTCCCCCTCGGTCCCGGGTCCCCCTCGGTCCCAGGTCCCCCTCGGTCCCGGGTCCCCCTCAGTCCCAGGTCCCTCTCGGTCCCGGGTCCCCCTCGGTCCCAGGCCCCCTCGGTCCCGGGTCCCCCTCAGTCCCAGGTCCCTCTCGGTCCCGGGTCCCCCTCGGTCCCAGGTCCCCTCTCAGTCAGGGTCCCCTCTCCACATGTCACTTCTCTGGGCACAGCAGGTCCACCCTTTTCTCCTGTTCATGCCTGTGTCCCTGTGGCTGCTCACTCCGAGTGTCTGTGTGTTTCTCTGAAATTCGGTTTCTGCCGCTGCTTCTTTACTTCCTGCCCGTCCGTCCCTGACCTGATGACAGAGGTCATGTCCTCAGACCTCGAGCCGGGGTATCGTTGCCCTGGTCCTTGCCCAGCGGCCCTGGAGCAGTCAGAGCACCTGGACCCCAAGTTTTCTCCCAGCACCTCCAGGAGAGGGCGCAGCTCTGAAGTCACAGGACAGACCAGTTACTGCCCCAAAGCGAGGCCCCAGGACCTGTGTATGAAATATAAATGACAAGCCATCCTCAGGATTAGCGACAGCATAAGTAAGGTGAATGGCACCCAAGCGCCTGTGGCCACAGAGCTACCAGGGCGTCACGGGAGCTGGAGGCGCCACCAAGGCCAGAGTCTTGTCCCCGTCCCAGGGACTCCTGCCCCCAGCACACGCTTTCACCAGCTGAGCACGGACCCGGCCAAGCCCCTGGGACGCCTGCAAAGCCAGTGGCTGCCCCTAAACTACACTTGGAGGACCGGCGTCCGCGACCCGTCCAGAGGCAGGAACACACGTGTCCTTGCAGTCGGGGTGCAGACACCAGCACCTCCTCTCCTCAGTCCTGGGCGCCACGGTGGGGGTGGGGGTGGGAGATCTTCCCTCTCCTCTCGGAGATAACGAAACCACAAACTGCAGTTGTGCTCTCTCCCCGGCTGATTCAAACAGAGACAGGTAGACAGTAGAACTTGTGCTCTCTTCCTGAAAATGTACTTGCGCACATGCACATGCACGCGCACATGCACATGCACACGGCATGCACACAGATGCAAAGTCAGCACGGACATAATAAACAGACAAACAAAGGAGACAGCTGGCAGCAGCAGGGCCAGTTCTTTCCCAGAAGCCCCCTTAGCTCGTCCCCCCGCAGGCAAACCTGCTTCCCAGGAGCCTGAGGCGGCAACAGTGACTCAGCACATCTCCATCTCTTGGAAAACTGCTCGACCTGAGCTGCCTCTCGGTGGTTCAACTGCGTGACAACGACCACCCTTTGCCCCAAAGGCATTAATGGGATGTGTCCCCTTTCTTTTTGCCCCAAATGAAAAGATACATAAATGTTAAAAGCACATACAAAATGTGTCCAGGGCTATTCTGTCTCCCTTCACCACGGGTCTTCCCAAACGGGCCCCCAAGCTCCGTGGCTGGCTCTGCGGACGCACTGAGCCCACTGGGGAGCCTGGCTCACGGACTCTGTCCCATCTACTCGCCTGGCTTTAATCTTCTCCATTCTAAACGCTCTGATTTCATCCACATGGGCCACCCAAAGCAAGTGATGTGCGCAGACCCTTCTGCCTGCGGGGGATTGTCCCCACGTTCTGGTATAAGCCGTCACAGTCTTTTGCAGGCCCGGGCCAAACCCTGTGACTCCTATTGGAACACTTGAGCCCCGTGGATGGCTCGATTCAGTTTTCTGACACGGGCTCAGCCACCACACAGCCCGGCAAAGGTCAACTGAGGAGACACAGACCCAAAGGCAGGCAGGAAGTCAACGCAGTTGGAGAAAACACAGTTCCATATTTATTCTGAGCCCTGCCGTGCAATCTCTCTCCGATAGGGGGGATTTCATCTTAAGCCCCAAGATGGAAATCCAGAGGTGGACTCTGCCTGTCGGGGGCAACACAGAACACAGAGATGAAGACCACGGAGTGGCATCCCTTCAGAGGAGCTCAACCCCAAATCTGCTCAGTAGCCGTGTGATCCTGAGCAGATGACTTAAACCCAGCTTTACAGAACAGGAAGGTGTGTGCTACCTACGCGTCAGTGTTTCCGTGAGGATTCAACACACAAATGGCGTGTAAAACGCCCCCCACACAGTAACCGCTGATAGATGGTGTCATGACTCACGGATCATTCCATCTCCATTCCAAGCTAGAAGGAAAAACTATGCATGGAACACACCTCGTCACGTAGAAGCTCTGTTGCTGCTTCTGCAAATTCTGAGTGACCCAGAGCAAAAGGCAAGTTATGGTGCAAACAAGAAAAATGGGTCAGGAGGGTCAGCGGGCGTCCAACTTACCCCCAACACCCCAAAGCGCTCAGCCAGGCTCCAGCCGCAGAGAAAGTCAATTTCAAACTTGTGGTTTAGGACCACGATGGCATTCTCCTTCCCAAACTTGGGGTAGGCCTGGGGGTCCGTGTAGATGACGCACTCCGTGCCCGACCACCACTCCAGCAGCATCACGAGCTCTGCAACAAACACAGCACACAGCGTTTATTTCAGGTGTCCTCTGACCCAGGGCTGCGCCGCGGGGCCGGCGGGGAGCGAGGCTGGGGCCTGGCGCCACTCCTAGGGGTGAGGTTTTGGGTCGTTCCAGCCCAGAGCCAGGCCCCGAGAGCGTCTGGACGCGGAAGAAAAGACAAGAACGGCTCCATGACGGTCTCCAGGGAAGGGGGGACTTTGAGAAGACAGTGACATGCAGCCTTTGATTAAGTGCCTCGGGGGAAAATAGATCAGAAGCCAGAATCCATCAAGAATTCATGCCCTGTGTTTACAGAGCTCTGAACAGCAGCAGGGGATGATATATGGGATTCTTAACATCCTGGGAAATGACTAATTGGGACACTTATAAACTCCATCAAGAAACACTGAGGCGACACTTGGGTGCACCAGGAACAGTGGGCAGCGGGGCCAGGCGGCAGAACCCCGCACCTGGTGGGTGAGGAGCAACTCGGGCCACTGCACCGTGTGCCTACACTGAAGTATTAAGAGACTCTAGGAGCTTGTGAAAATAAAACAGTCTATTTCTCAGGCCATAATGACCAATATGACCTTACCCAGTGAACACGTCCTAACCTGGTGGCCTCCGGGAAAACCTAGGCGTGGAAATTGCCCAGAAAAACAGCTGGACATCGGGGGTTAGGCTACGGGGTTTGAGCAGCTACGACATGAGCTGTTCAAGCTGAAGGTGTTTAGCAGGTGGATGGGTGAGGGTGAGTCTTCTGTGAAGGTTGTCCCCCTTTTTATTACTGGCTAGTGGGACGCACTTAGCAGAGGGCTCACTCACTCATCACCCCCCTAAACACACACACACACACACATACACACATACACACACCACGCAGATGTGGTCCTGCCTCTGGCTGAGCCTCATGCCTTAAAGTCTTCTTTGCATGAATTCAATAAGACCCGTTTTCAATTATGGTTTTACTAACCAAGAGTTGGATGGGAATGTCATGTGTGAGGCAGACGTGCCTGGACTTTGAATGTCACTAGAAAGAAAGCCTTAAGGAATTGTGATGAACTGATCCAAGCTCATCAGAAGCCACTTGCAAGAAGTGGCCTGTTCCTTGCTCGGACACATGGGTCATGGCAACCTTTCTAGGGAAGGAAAAAAGGTTGATTTCCTGAAAGATGGCAAAGAAAGAGACTCAAGATGTTTGAGGGACCTCAGGAACTTGAGGAATCCACCCAAACCTACAGGTATTTCAGGCAAAGCCAGGTGGCAGCCGTGTGGCTTGGTTCTTTGCCCTGAGGAGCTAAAGCTCAGTCTGAAGATTCCTTGTGAGTGAAATTCCTTGTGAGTGCAAAGCAGATCTGAAAGAGTCTATATGGTTAATTACTACTCCTTTGGTGTTTATGCAAATAATCAGGGCAAATTAAAGATGGATTTAATACAGTAAATAAATTGGTTTTAATTTAGTCTTTGAAAAAAAAATGAGGATGATTTTAGGGGGGAAATTGTGTTTCAATAAAGTCCATATACACAGTTGTGGATATTATCCTCTAATTCAGTTAATTGTCTTCAAAGTTTTATTTTTTTTCACCCACACACTAAACTAAACCAAATTGTACATTTTTCTAGTTTTCTTAAATGTTTGGCTGCAACCCTCCAAACTAATGTTTCATTTTCTCTCATCCTTGGACTTGGAATGATTAAAAATGGAAACTTCTTCCTTTGGTCAGGCCATTTGTCGTCAGTCTTGCCAGTCGAGCTTTTGCCCCTGAAATACTGAGATCTGTACACAGTTTGCCCCATCAAGTTGCTCAGGCAACACCAGCTGCTGGACACCACCATGGGCTCCTTTCATGCCCAGGCCTCGTCGTCCTGTGACACAGAGCAAGGATCTCGGCTCTGAAGGCAGACGTCACCCTAGTTCAGCAGGAAGCAGCTACAGCAGAGATCCTACGCCCCTTTTCTCTGGAAGAATTCAGAGCCAAAATCCCTGAGCAGGGAATGTTCTGGTCAGTTAGACAGACACGAGCAGAGGAAGACGACGGGCCAGGTACAGAAGGTCACCAGAGCAGAAAGCCCCAGGTGCCTAGCAAGGGGCAAAACAGAAAACAAGAACCTCACCCCCAGGGTAACCTTTCCTCCCAAGCATAGCGCTGGTCATATGGTTCGGACCCTTTGACTTTTCATAACACTGGTCATGTGGTTTGGACCCCTGACCTTTCCCTCCCTGAATATAACACGTAGGCTTCACTGGTATTTCAGCTCCAGGCCCAGAAAAGCAGCAAAACCAGACAAGTGACACTGTGGCTGCCTCAGGACCTGCTGCACTGACTCATGACACCCTGGCTTCGCCCTGTCAGCGGAGACCAGGACCCCGAGAGAGCACACCTGGAGCTAAGAACACTCTACTGAGACCTTCCCCGGAGACCTCCCCTAACATACCCCTGCAGGAGAGAGATGCCTCAGTGCACAGGACCCAGCCTGGGGGCACACCCACGCCAGTCCCTGCGCCCTTCTGCCCTGAGGGACCAGGAGACTCGCAGCCAGGGGAGCAGGGACAGCGGCAGCTCGTCCCGGGCTCTCCCCTGCACCTGTCTCCAGGGCCCTCTCTCGGCCTCCCCAGTGAGCCAGGGCAGCGCCTGCTCCCCCCTGCACCTGTCTCCCCCTCTCTCGGCCTCCCCCGTGAGCCAGGGCAGCGCCTGCTCTCCCCTGCACCTGTCTCCGGGCCCCTCTCTCGGCCTCCCCAGTGAGCCAGGGCAGCGCCTGCTCTCCCTGCACCTGTGTCCAGGGCCCTCTCTCTCCTCCCCAGTGAGCCAGGGCAGCGCCTGCTCCCCCCTGCACCTGTCTCCAGGGCCCTCTCTCTCCTCCCCAGTGAGCCAGGGCAGCGCCTGCTCCCCCCTGCACCTGTCTCCCCCTCTCTCGGCCTCCCCCGTGAGCCAGGGCAGCGCCTGCTCTCCCCTGCACCTGTCTCCAGGCCCTCTCTCGGCCTCCCCAGTGAGCCAGGGCAGCGCCTGCTCCCACCTGCACCTGTCTCCCCCTCTCTCGGCCTCCCCAGTGAGCCAGGGCCTAGCGCATCCTCGCTCTCCCTGCACCTGTCTCCAGGCCCCCTCTCTTCTCCTCCCCCCGTGAGCCAGGGCAAGCGCTGCATTCTAACTGCACCTGCTTCCGGGCCCCTCTCTCGGCCTTCCCCAGTGAGCCAGGGCAGCGCCTCTGCTCTCCCTGCACCTGTTCCTGGGCCCCTCTCTCGGCCTCCCCAGTGAGCCAGGGCAGCGCCTGCTCTCCCTGCACCTGTGTCCAGGGCCCTCTCTCGGCCTCCCCAGTGAGCCAGGGCAGCGCCTGCTCTCCCTGCACCTGTCTCCAGGCCCTCTCTCGGCCTCCCCAGTGAGCCAGGGCAGCGCCTGCTCCCCCCTGCACCTGTCTCCAGGGCCCTCTCTCTCCTCCCCAGTGAGCCAGGGCAGCGCCTGCTCCCCCCTGCACCTGTCTCCCCCCCTCTCGGCCTCCCCCGTGAGCCAGGGCAGCGCCTGCTCTCCCCTGCACCTGTCTCCGGGCCCCTCTCTCGGCCTCCCCAGTGAGCCAGGGCAGCGCCTGCTCTCCCTGCACCTGTCTCCAGGCCCTCTCTCGGCCTCCCCAGTGAGCCAGGGCAGCGCCTGCTCCCACCTGCACCTGTCTCCCCCTCTCTCGGCCTCCCCAGTGAGCCAGGGCAGCGCCTGCTCTCCCTGCACCTGTCTCCAGGGCCCTCTCTCGGCCTCCCCAGTGAGCCAGGGCAGCGCCTGCTCTCCCTGCACCTGTCTCCAGGGCCCTCTCTCTCCTCCCCAGTGAGCCAGGGCAGCGCCTGCTCCCCCTGCACCTGTCTCCAGGCCCCTCTCTCTCCTCCCCAGTGAGCCAGGGCAGCGCCTGCTCTCCCGTGGCTGCTTCTCTGCCCTTCCTGTTTCCCTGTCCCGAGCGTGTTTCTGCGGCCAGTACGTTCCTGCTGGCTTTGCTGCACTTTGCCTCTTGATCGAAATCTTTCCTTCAGGGAGACAAGAACCAAGGTCTCATCGTCTGGCGGGTAAAAATACCAAAAAGTAGAATTGAAGAAGATGCACATTTAGAATTTGAAGGCTCTTCGCAAATTGCCTTTTGAGAAGATCCTACTGATCTGTGCTCAAGTGACAGTGTGGGAGAGGGTCTCTCCTGCTGCTGGGCTCACACTCAACGCCCCTCGAAGGCTGGGACCAGGGGTGCCCTTCACCACGTACTGCAGTAGAATGTGGATTCCTTCCCATCAGTGACCCTGCGACACCCTCCAGGCAGCATTCGGGGCGCGTTCATCTCTGTAGCTCCCACTCCGTGCCCCCATATCCAACACGTGGCAGGGCCTGGAAGGCTTCTACCATTGGCTGAATGACTTGCAGGCTGGTGTCCTCCTGGATGTTCCTGTGTAGACAACTGCACACAACTCACAGACATCTCCCGGACCGAGGCTTCATCCCGAGCGTCTGTCCTCAACGCTGTCGGCCTGGGCCTGCTCAGGCCCCTTTAGCAGCTTCACAGGTGACGCCAGGCAGCCCACTGTACGTACGGACACACATCTGCCCAGCCCAGCGGCTCCCCGTCAGGTGGGACAGCGGTCGGCCAGCTGGAGGCACTCCATCCCACCCCTCGCCCAACGTCAGGGCTTCCCGACTGCCCTGGGCTCTGAGGTGTGCCAGCCGCTCGGCCACACTGACGTGCTGCCCACTGTCCGTCCGCCAGGGGTGGCAGCTCTCACTGCTTGACTCCCTGTCTCCATGGCAATGGTGGTGCCGTTTCTTTTCAAATGACACCCCCGTGGGAGCCTCCTCTCTGACTGAGGAAGCGACAACCAGGGCAGCTGTGCGGCCGACCCTGATCGGCACCCTAGGCAGGTGACAGCGCAGCGGAGGCGGAGAGGAAGCGGGTCGTCCGCTGTTCACAGGGGGCACCTCGAGGGTTCCCGGGGGCAGCCCCACCGGCTGTGTCACGAGGCCAGGGAGCAACAGTGGACACCACCGG